GGTAGAATTAAATACCTATGACAATGATCAATAGTTAGATTTAGGAAATGATAGAACAAATTTTTTTCCAAGTCATTTGGTGCTAATTATATACAAAAAAGAAATTGTATCTCTTTTGAGAATGAGCCATCGTGAAATGGTTAAAAATCAAGTGTGTATTGGGATTTTTGTGATTTTTACTGCCAAAAAGTTACATTGGGTTATCAAAGACAAAGGTGAATCTTGGACGGGTCAATATTTTCGTGATACAATTCTAATGCAACATGTGATACCATTTCTAAAAATGAAGAAAATGTTATCGATCCGGATGAAGTAATATTTGCCCATGACAAAGCACCATGCATGCGAGCAAATATGACTCAACATTTGCTTCAAGACAATAACATCAAATTCTGGGGAAATGACACTTGGCCCGGAAACTCGCCTGATCTAAATGTGGCTGAACATATTGGAACAGTAATTAAAAATGAACTTGAAAAAAAAAATGCTATCAGAAACGGAACATGATCGTTATCGAGGAGAAACTTTGAAGAAACACATTGCAGATGTTTTGAAAAATATGGAAACGGATGTTGAATTATTTGAAACTCTCTTATGTTCGTATCCGTCACGTCTTCATGCTGTAAAGAATGCTAACGGTCGTCATACTGATTATTGATTATATTCACTGAACTTTAATAAAAATAAAAATTTCTTTGTCATATGTCAACATTTGAAAAGAGATCTAGTTTAAATTGTCTCATAACTCTGATTTTCTGCGACAACACAGCATAGTATTTTTGAAAATTGCTTCAATTTAATACAGAAAAGTTTCCATATCCCTTACTATATAGTACTGCTAAATCCCGTTTTTGACGCGCTTTAATTTGGTATAAAATTTGTTATGATTGCTATTTGAAATCATAGCGTTACCCCCATGGAATAATATTTTTACCCACCTAGTACATCAACACGAAAAGTTCCCAATAGAGAGCAATGGAGGATTATTTTCAATAAAGATTGAAGAAAAGTCATGCACTAGATGATAGATTTGGTTTCGTTCTTTGATTCATCTGCAATGAACTTCACATGAATTGTGTAATTATCGAAATAGTCCTCCTGACCATTGTATGCATCCAACAGTTCAATTTATGCAAAACCTCTATAAGATGAACACCTCTCATAATGAACCCTTTTTCGGAAGGCCCAATGGTGTTCATCTTATAGAGGTTTTACTGTATATTATCAATATTTTTGCACGATATCTGTATGAATGAATGGCTCACTTCGACTATTTTGGCGAATAAAAATGCAAACAATGGTTGAGCTGCTCCATTAAGTACACATGCTATGCAACCAATCAAGATCGTGATCCATTCAGAACTATTCATTGATAAGAGTCTTAAAAAGACAAATCTTTGTCTGAATAGCTTTGAACTTTGCTAAAAGAGAGATTATCATTAATGGTTTTTATAAATAATTGCAGTAGTATTTGTACTTTGTTCACATCAACAATTTGACCATCGCCAAGTGAACGAGAACGTTCAACTGTTAATGAAAAAGATGAAGAAAATTGAAGACTATTACTGTTAGAATTCTTAACATACATTTCAACTTTTCATCCTCTTCTATCGCTTTTTGTATGCTCATCATATTATCTTGATCGTCATTGATTCTTTCCATTTGTTGATGTTTAACCATTGTTTGGTATTTGCCTCCTTCTTTTGCCATTAATGTTTCATGAGTACCTTGCTCAATCACATTTCCTTTATCTAATACATATATATGATGAGCTTTTTGAATTGTAGTCAAACGATGAGCAATAACGATAGTTGTACGACCTATACAGAATGTTATAGGAATACATTAAGCAATAAACAACAATTGTTACCTTTGCATACTCGATCGAGTGCTTCTTGAACAAGTTTTTCACTAACATTATCAAGTGCACTTGTTGCTTCATCCAGTAAAAGGAAAGTAGGCTGTTTGACAAGAGCACGAGCTAATGCAATACGTTGTTTTTCACCACCACTCAACTGTACACCACGTTCACCAACAAGTGTTTCATATTTCTAAACAAGAAATAGGGATACATACATGTATATGTAGATAGATGTAAATATTTGGCGCAAACATCTGGTAATTGCATGATGAAATTATGTGCATTTGCTTCTCGTGCTGCTTGTTCAATTTCTAATTGTGTTCCATTTACATTACCAAAACGAATATTTTCATAAATACTCATACCAAACAGAATCTATTATAATATTGATTTAAAATGTAAGGAAGAAAAAGAAAAACGAAAAAACAACATACAGGTTCTTGACTAACAACTCCAATATTTTGTCGAAGTTGTTGGACATTGTAATCTGTTATTGGTCGACCATCGATCATTATTCGACCTGATGATGGTTCATAATAACGAAGAAAAAGTGATATACATGTACTTTTTCCTATGAGTAAATTATGAACACGAATAAGATTACTTTAAGATATTTGTTTTTTGAAAATAATTACCACAACCACTTGAACCTACGAGAGCAGTTGTCTGGCCAGCACGAGCAATAAGAGAGAGATTACGCAGAGCTGATACATCTTTTCGAGATGGATAACTAAAGTTGATATTGTCAAATTCAATATCACCATTGATATTATAAATAGCTTCTGTATCCTCTTTCCAAATATCTATTTCATTGATACTTGCATCATTTCCCTATATCATGTAAACAAACATAGAATGTGGGCATTGGTATGAGACCTCAATTTACTCAGATTTACCTCGTCAATAAGTCGAAACACTGGTGCTGCTGCACCTCGAGCTTCTGAAAATGATTGAAAGAAAGGACCAGTAGAAGCGAAGTAGGTCAAACATTGTGCAAAGATGAAGATGACCTACATTAAGATAATAGTCATATATTCATTTCCTTATTGACTAATTATACAAATTACGCACGACAAGTATATCACTCATATTCGATGTATGATCATCTTTGTATGACATAAGAAGAGAACCAAAGATAAAACCAATTGAATAAACTAGGTAGGTTAGCAGAGATACCCACCCAATAAAAATACCATAACCTGCACCTTTGCGTATACTACTCCAACAAGTTGGATACAATTCTCTGTCATATCTAAATGCAATAAAAATAAGAACATGTTGTACGATATTATATAGACACACTATTTTTGTATATTCATTTACCGTTTTTGCTCAAACTTGTTACCATTGAGAGAAAGAACAGTTCGTAATGAACTAAATACCTCTTGAACGATTTGTCCCGCATTCGAGTATGTCATTAACTCATTCATTGTTTCTTTCGCAGTGAACTGTAATAATACATACATATTTAATTGATTGAACGATATTTCATACCTTAGAAAACACAGAGGAGCTACCAACGACCAAAGGTATGAAAAATAGCATAATCAAGGTCAGTTGCCAGTTGACAATGAAAGTTGCCAATAAACAAGCAATGATTTTGAGTAACGTTGTCATCAATATTAAAAATTCCAAACCAATGCCTTTTTCAATCTTGTCAATGTTACTATCAATAATTAAATCAGATGATGTTATTTGATATAAAATATCATAATGACTTACTCAAACAGTTTAGCGTTGAGTTGACTAGTCGGTTTCATATCCATATAAGGAATGTTCTAAAAACAAAGAGAGTAAGAAACAGTCAGAGATGGGCACATATGATTGAATGATACTCTAATTCGACTCTTATTTCGCGAACTCGACTTTATCTGTATTTTCTTAACTACAATCCAATTCCAACTTTATATTTTCTGAAAATCTTACTGCAACTCTGGCTGTAAAAAAGGCATTCTCTGCCTGATTTTCTTAGAAAAAGTAGAATTCTTTTGAATTTGCTCCTATAATCTGTGTTTTCTTTATCGAGTTCTTTTATTTTCATTGGACAAGTCATCCAGCCAATAGGAATTTAGTTGCGATTGATAAAAATCTATTACCTCAAATTTCACTCCAACTCTTATATAAGTCAAAGCCAACTTCACTAAGATTGCACATATAGAATATCAAGTTCTAGTATAGCAGCAACCTAGCGAGCAAACGACTGCAGATGTTTACTTTCGATTTCAATCATTTTTTACCTATACATAGTAGATACCATTCTAGTAGAAACTCTAAAAAGATTTAAGTTCTTATTAAGACTTAATGAAACTATTGAACTTTTAATATTTATTTTTTATCAGGAATTCCTGCATGATCCCATGTTTTCTGAAAAATCGTACTTTTGAATTTTTGTTTTGACACGATTTTTATTCAAAAGTCTCATATAGAGTAATTTTTATGAAAAATTTGAGAGTTTGTTGAATTCATATCTTCGAGATACAAACTTTTCAAAAAAAAAGAAAGAGGCTTTTCGTAGTGCATTGAAAGATGCAGGAATATTTTTAAAAATTGATATCTTGGAGATACGAAGTATACAAAGTCTGAAGCTTTTCATACGAGGCACTGTATGTGATCCTTTCAAATTGAGATAGTTTCAAGATAAAATTTAAAAACATGATTTTTTTGACAACCAAATGTATTATGGGAGTCTCTGACAAATAGAAATTTTAAAAATTCAATAGCTCTCTCGAATCTTAATAAGAAATGAAATCGTTTTATGGTTTTTACTAGGATACTTTGTAGTATCTACGTATAGGCAAAAAAAATCATTAAAATCGGGAGGAGACATCTGAAGAGATTTTCTCGTAAGATGATTCAATTCCGCTTCAACTTCTGTAGATAAAAGTATCTGTTCGAGTTGATGTGGCGCATCTATGTACAGACTAAGATTGTTTCTATACACAGTAATCTAGACGATATGTAGTACGATTGAAATATCTAAATTAGTTCGTCAATATTTCTTTAATATCATTTTAAAATTACATTATCTAAACTTCAATTTTCTAGAAATATTTCTTGTTTTACTATTTATGAAACTGTATTAACAATCGAGATGTCTATCTTCATTATTGTAAAGTCGTCATCTATTGAAGTTAAAAGTTTCTCATAAAATAATATATGAACATAATTGCTCTGTAAAACTTCAAAATGATTATATTCGCATCAACTTTTAAGAAAGCATTTGATATGTGGAGGATAGTGAGGTTGAGCATGCATTTGCACTCTTGTTGTAGATCCTTGCTTTTAGTTTTAAAAGTTCTAGAAATAGAAGCATGTCTAGGTAAATACAACTTTTATCTAGATACTTTAGCTTATTACATAGACTTGTTAGAATTGCTAATTTGTGAATAGTAAGGATTTCTTAAAAAGAAAATGCAAAATATGCTATTAATTTATAGTAATACTAAGAAAAGATTAAGATTAAACTTTTAGAAAATATTTTTTTTAATAAATGGAAGCGTATTTGACTTACTCGTTGAACTATTGATCGAAAGAGAGAAACAGACACACGAAATGTCTGTCGTTTAATACAAATAGTCCAAATGAATCTTGTAATCGAGCTTGCCAGAAATTGAACAGCACTAGAAACTACATTGACAGAGAAAAAAACAAGTTGCATTATTTGTTATAATCAAATTATTACGTTCATTTCACTTACTGAATAACCAGTGAACTGTGTTCATAACTTTTTTTCGAAATAAAGGTATTAATGTTGCTATGGTTGATGATAAAATTACATCAACTTCATGACGTAGTCTAAGATAAAAAATGCCAAAGGAAAATAAAAGAAATACATAGTATGGAATAATAATAGTTTTTGATGCATTACTTATACGATGGATCATTGTTGAATTGATTGAGCTCTATGAGTTGAGAATGCGTATTATTGTTTATAGTTGAAGCTATTGAATTTTGATGTTGATAATCACAATTATTACCAAATGATTCAGTAGCAAATATTCCTGTGAACCGACCAAATAGAACTAGATCGATGAGAATACAAACTGACTGCAGCATTATGAAACATATAACAATGAACATTAGAAAAAAATCCATATGATTTCCAAATCGAAACTACAATGAAATCGAATATATCAAGTAGCTTGTATTTCGTCTAAATACACTTACTAAACGAAAAATACCAACTGGTTCATCTTTGTCACTACGTTCAGTATCATCATCTAATTTTATATATTTATTATCGCTGCCTTTTCTGCTGAACCATCGACGCCAATCCGAAAAACTATGAAAAATGATAAATTCATTGTAGTTTTCTTGTAATTAATTGTTCATTAGATCATACCTATTGGTGAAAAATTGTTTCTTGTTTCCATTATCATCATGATCGCCAATAGAAAATTTACTGGACACGTTTAAGAGTGGTGCTCTATCACCCATTTGACTTTTTTTATCGATAAGACTATTATGAAAACAATCAAAGGCAAATATGTGCGAGTATTTGTATAAAAAAATGGCTTGTGATTATTATCTATCTATTCATGCGTTTCTTTCTTTTATTTTTTTTTTCTTTGCTCATTAGGTGAATGAAAAAATATGTGCAATCAAGCGATTATCGAATGATAATTAAGCACAAATGCAAGTCGACGTTGCTTTTTTAATGCGGTACGAAGCACAGCATTTATGTAGTCCGCCGCAAGTTTTTTTTTTTTTATTCTTTCTTTTTAATGCGATGCGAAGCACTGCATTTATGTAGTCGTGCGCGAGTTTTTAATGCCCTGCGAAGCAGGA